CCCTCCGTGTTGCCCCCACACCACGCTCAGCCAGTGAGCGGGAACTGGTCTCCACATGGGATCCAAACCCTCGGCGGGAGCGCCGCCACACTCCCAAGCGGCGCACTCTCCAGTGCGCCACCGGGCCGGCCCAAAGCATTGATTTTTATTTTTTATTTTTATTTTTTTTTTCCTTTATTTTTTTTTTTACTGACCAGTAACGGGATCGCAGCCCTCGGTGTCGCGCCCGTACCGGGGACCGGCAATGGGATTGCAACCCTCGGTGTTGCGCCCGCACCACGCTCAGCCAGTGAGCGGGAACTGGTCTCCACATGGGATCCAAACCCTCGGCGGGAGCGCCGCCACACTCCCAAGCGGCGCACTCTCCAGTGCGCCACCGGGCCGGCCCAAAGCATTGATTTTTAACGCACGCTATATAAGTACCACTCAGAAAAATCACTTCAATTAAACTAATAGCCAATGCTTTCTTATTGCTTAGAATTTTTATTTTATACTTTTTGAAGGTGCTCTTGTAGGCTTATTGAGACATGGAAGTGATCATACTATGAAGAGCTATGACCAAGTTCACGTACGTGGAGACAGTAATAACTCATATCTTCCACCTGGCTGCTAGAAATTGCAGAATGCCATCAATTTTAAGACACAACATGATTATAGGGATATTAAAATGTGAAAAATGTATGCCTTGGAATTGAAGGAATATGACGCATTGAATAAGTTACCTTCCAGGTGGGTTTAAAAGGAAAGAAGGTGCTTAAATAGATAAATATGATTAGGTGTAACTCATATAGTATTACAATAATGTACAAAATGCCTTGAATAAGGACTTGAGTGATTATGCCAAAGGGAAGCAGAGGAGGCTTTCCAGTCTGGACACAGAGATGTCCTTGGAGAAGGCAGAATTGAAAAAAAGAGGAAGACTCCACAGTGATGGGAAAGAGTTCAAATATGACAGGCTCAGTTAAGTGCCCCACTTCTGTGGTCCTGAGATCTTATAATTTGAGGATTCAAGACATGACCATGAGGCTTTCACAGTACTGGTGCCACTATCAGATGAGGAGGGGACACAGTGTCCCTCCCCAGTAGGTACTAATGTAAATTTGTAAAATAAATGCATGCATGTGTGCATGAACAAATGAATGAGTAAATAAGTGCATGAGTTAGGGTTGTCTGTGGCCCAAGATAACAGCAGTGTCCCTCCCCAGTAGGTGCTCAATGTAAATTTGTAAAATAAATGCATGCATGTGTTCATGAACAAATGAATGAGTAAATAAGTGCATGAGTTAGGGTTGTCTGTGGCCCAAGATAACAGCTGTTTTCTTTTCCCTTGTTACCCTAGAGAAACTTGAGAGTGAGAAGCTAAATGTTGCCGAGGTCACCCAGTCAGAGATTGCTCAGAAGCAAAAGCTGCAGACTGTCCTGGAGAAGATCAACGAAACGCTGAAACTTCCTCCCAGGAGCATCAAGTGGAATGTGGACTGTGAGTTGTACAAAGGAAAATGGCACTATTAAATGATGCCTGTGGTCCCTACTGTGTGGCTTCCCCAAGAAGCCATCCACAAGCTGGCAGGCCCTGGGGGGGCGGGGGGAGAAGCCATACATCTTTGAGCAAGATGCACCCTTCCCTAGAAGGAGAACTTGTTGTACATTCCATTGGGGAAAAAATAACATTTTGTCCAAATCCAGTGTCCCTTTTTCTGTAAATAGCTTTCCATAGAAACCTCACATGAGATAGGGAGGGGAAGGAGACTCATATTCATTGAGCTGCTTCTGAGTCCCAGCACAGCCTTTAGAGAGAGCTGTTGTCTCCAGCTCATAGAGGGTGGGGGAAGCTGAGGCCCCCATGTTCTCAGGGAGCAAGGACTCGGCTCTGTCCTGAAGGCCACACTCTTCTGCTCCCCCTTCATTTGTAGGAGGAGTAAAGGTATGACTGAGATCTTAGGCACTGGAACAGGATTTTAAAATTCAGCTTTTCATAGCTAATATAGCTTAAGGATCTCAGAAAGTATAAACCATTAATTCTCTTGCTGCATCAGAACATGGTGTCTCATATGAGTCCATATCGGAATCAACATTAAATCAGCGGATTAACTGAATCCAATGGTGTCAACATATTTTCCATTAGGGAATCCAAAGTTGTTTTGTTCTGTATGACGGATAAAAATAGGAATTTTGTTAAATAAAATGATTGGAATGTGTTTTGCCTGTGTTTTCAGTATTAAGGGGCTAAATACTATATTTAATTGCATCCAACTTCTACAACTTAAAATGGACACCCCTGCAAAAAACACCTTTCAAACTTGAGAAAGAGAAAGGACTCTTCACCTCTAAATTTAGAGATCCAGTAGCTGCCAGATGCAGTCTCTTCAACAGGTTTCTAACACCTGACACTGGGCCGAGACACCAAGTACCTCCTTCAGCGTAATTACACCTTTGCTTACACAGCGTGATGAACTGCTCTACACGGTGCACAGTGCTGGGAACAGGGCATTCTCTGCCAAGCCGAGGGAGACACCCGAGGGCAGGAGGAGTGTCAGGGCTCTGGGCCCTAGGTGCTGTCTTGGAGAGGGGCTCTGTTTCCCTGTGTCCCAGGAATGCTAATACAAGTAGTGTTCGGTGGGGGAGAAGAAAAGGGGGCTTGATCACTAATTTGGGAAATGAATCTGCATTTTGGAAATACACAACAGTCATAAGCATTAGAGAAGTCCTGAAATTAAGACCCCTGCCTAGTTTTGCTTCGTGCTATTTCCCACTCCTTTGAATATGAACCATTTCCCTGTACCTCTCCAAAAAAAAAAAAAAAAAAAAAAAACCCCACATTTTAAGTTATCATGGCACCCAATGTGGGAAAGGCTGAGACAGAAGAATAAATTTTTTAGAGCCACATCAAGAACATTGTCTTCAGTGGCTTTGAATGATTTGTTTTGTTCATGTTTACCCTAATTTCTCATAGGGAAATATGTAAGAGAAAAATAATCACTCATTTTACCACTCTACTTTAGCTGTTTTCATTTTTTTGCCCATTACTGGTTCCACCAATGCATCTTTTTACTTGGTCAAGTCATATACACTATTGTGCTTTGTTTTCTTCTCTTAATATCCTATCACACACTTTTTCTATCTTCCCTCATGGTCTTCATAGTTATAGTTTTTGATAGCTGCGTCTATTTCATGGGGTAGATATCCCATAGTTAACTTAAACCCTAGGTTGATGTAGATCCTCTTGGGGTATTTTCTAACCTATTGCTAATATCAGATAGCACCAAGGTGAACGTCTTAGTTTGTAACTCTTTTTGCTTCTCTTGAATTATCCCCTTTAGAAAGATTTCCAGAACTGGGATGAATTACTAGGTCAGAAGGAATAATTATCTCGTGGCTTGCCCCCTGCAATGCCTTGGGGCTTCAGGAAGAGCTGGGCTTGTTTACAAGCAGCAGTGGTTTGTTCAGTGAGGAATGTGGCAGGCACCACTCCTGAGAGGAAGCTCTGTCTCCTCTCTCAGTCATCTTCCTTGGATGTAAGTCTGAGGACACAGTGTTATTTTTCTACTCAGGATGAGGGCAGCAGGGACAGGCTGCTGAGTTACCAAGGTCTTAGATCTGGGGCTTTAGGGATTTCTTCTTTCTTTTCTTTTTATTCACAACAGTTATTTTTATTATTGAAAACAGAACAGATAAATGAAAAGAAATTTAAATATTAACATCTAACATATTTATGGCACTTACTGTAAGCCTCATACCCTTCTAAATGCTTTACATCTTTTAATCCTTGTAATTTTCACTCAACCCTCTGAGGTATGAATTCTGTTATCCCCATCTTACAGATGAGAAAATCGAGGCATAGAGAGGCATAGAAACTGTGAATGTAAGCTTCATGAGGGCAGGGATTTTTGTCTCTTCACTGGTATCTCCCCTGAACCAAGAAGAGTAACTGGCACATACTAAGGCACATGATATTTGCTAAAGGAACATCACTGTCCAAGGTCACATAGGTGGAACTAGGAATTAGACCCAGAGCCCAGCTGCAGAGCCTGTGTACTGAGCCTACACATCCTGCCATAAGAAGCTGCCCACCTAGAGACAGACATTGT